CTTTCAACTCTGTTAACAGAAAGAGACATAGAGCAATTTTGGTTATACTTTGTAAAATCAGCTTCTACAGCAGTTAGGTTTTTTAGATCTAACAATTCAAACGGATGTTCGTGAATTCCTGCAAGTACAAGAATCTCTGACCATGAACACTGAAAATGGAGAGTTGGAAATGAATGTTTGGTATCATCTTCGGCCTTTCATGCAGAAGGTTTCATTGTAATCTCTTGCATTGATTTCAAAACCAGTGTTCAAGCACTCTTCTGTTTTAACAGAATGGCTGTTATCCCTTCTCATACCAAGAGCATCCTTTTGTTTCTTCATCCTTGAACTTGATTATTGGATGTAAGTTTACAGAGAAGTTTCAATTAACTGTCTTAGCCAAAAATGCACTTAGTGTTTAAGGATTGAAAAAATACTTGGCAGATGTGTGCTTCCTGACCATACCTGTGCCGCAGGCCCCAGAATATCCTCTTGACAACTCATCGAGTCCTCCTTCCTTCAGGATTCCAGTTCATGGCTTACTCTCCGCATTGAAGCCAAAGCTTCTGGTAGATGCAGTTTCAGGGGTCAGTAAGTGCAATAGGTCACCTCCTTTTCCTCCGTCTCCTTGAATTCACATCAAATGGCACTTCACTAGCCTGGAAACTGCTGTTTGGTACATCATTCACGTGGCATGCAATTCACCCCTGTGGACAGGTCCCCAAGCAAAGCCCTAGGTACCCCTTTTGCCTTATGTTAAGGTTTTAAGGGGCCTTATGTTAAGGTTTTATGATGCATAGGCTCTTGTGCAGGGGTGAAGTTTGCCTTTTGCTGTAGATGTTGTTTAACATTTGTGTTTTTGTTGGCTGTCATCATTCTTGTGCTTGTACTTCATTGGCAGCATAGTCGATGAAATATTACTAGCACTGATGTGCAGTAGGAAGCTGCATAGCTGCAGTCTATTTTTCTAATGCATTTACCTATGAGTTCTAACCCCTGTAAAGGCAGAATTGTGTACAAAGAATGTATATTTTTGTACATATTTGAGTTGACAGTGTGTGGAATAAAAATTGGCCCATTTCAGATCGGGGATGTTTGGGTTGAAGTCACTCT